CAACTTCTGTTCACTCCAGTGGGCTTTGGACGCTGGTCATAGGGATACAGTAAGTCTTTTGACTCCATGGCAGTTCCTCCTTCTTAATGGAGTCCATTTCTCTGAGCATTTTTAAACACCCAATAAACCCATTCCTAGCACTGTTCATTTCTGTAAAAAGGATGGTTTTACTATAATGAAGCTCCCAGTTTGCTGCTTACCCTGGACCCAGAGCACCACGAGGCAGAGCAGGGGAGCCAGTGATGCCATCTTGGTACGTGTGCCTGGCCTGCACTGATCACCAGTCTGGACCAAGTGCCCTGGAGCACTTATACTGGCTCTGAGCATCAGGAGGGCGTTGACTGGGTGTACAACATGCAAATTTGGCTCTGAGATGATTTGCAAGTGATCTAAAAATCAGCTGTGAAAGGCAGGTGGTGTTGAAGGGGGCAGACACAGCGGGTTCACGGAGCTGCTTCACTTCATGTTGAGCTGGTGTTTGTCACAAGTGGATGGGAAGAGGGTTGGTAACTCGTACGTATTTTGGTTCCAGCTTGTTAAATTCGTACCGGACAAGTCCTGCTGGACATGTAGTCACTGCTGTGATCTCCCTGGGCTAGAGCAGCCACAGAGGAAATTACTTCCTCACTCTGCTCCTTTTCCTCACCTTAGAAAACTTGTTTAACATAAAGAAAAGAACAAGATCCCGAACTTTGCCTTTCTAGAGGAAAGCCACATTAAGCATTTTGAACCAGGAAGACATTTTGATAGTATTTTGTATTTTTTATTTTGTTTCTAATGAAGATCATATGCCATGCTATTTCTCCTGGCACACAGGGTTTTAGAGCATCTTTTTCCATGATTTTGCTGGGAATCGTAAACGCTTTGCTCCTCTGAATGAAAGGGCAGATGGTAATTACCCACAACAGGTTTTATTCCAGCCCAGAGGAAAAAAGTCACAAATCATACTACTATCTCCCAAGTCCAGGAAGTAATCCATGATGTATTGGAATGATACAATTTCCCAGTCAAGTTAACATGAACCCATATCCTGAGCAGTGCTAACTTTGCTCTGTCTATGAGGCCTGTGAGAGGAAGGGGATGGGAAACAGTTATACCAGGCTCCCAAGCTTGCCCCCCTCCAAATGTATGTGTTTCACCTGTTTTAATATGCGGTAAACCATAGCGAGTAAAATGGTTATTACAAGTAACATGCGTAGAAATAAAGTAGAGGTCTGAGCTCTCAAAATTTATTTCAAAATATATGGATTCAGCTTAGACTTCTAATAGATTCCCTCTATTTCCTGCCTCCCAGTGGGGAGGTGGGGAGACCCCCTTACCAGGATGCACCAGCTCCCCACAGTACTCTTCCAGGCCTGGCCTGCCCACCCCACCGGGAACAAATGAAAAGAAATCCATAACTGTCCTTGCAAAGGTTGTCCAACAGAGCTTGCATCTCCAGCCATTGGTTAGTTGGTGTTGATATAACAGTCAGTGCTTTGTAGATCTGAGTTCTTGGCTGCCTGCTATGACTAAATGTCCTGTAATGTGGCTGGAAGGAGGAAAGGTTTTTTGCGTTGATGTAGCCTGGAAGAAAGATTTCTCCTCCCTGTTACCTAGTGCAGGTGAGCGAAACAAGCCATTTGTGTAGAAGGCAATGTCAAAAGGTATAACCTTTTGTCCTTCTCTTGAATTCAAGGCAGAGTAAGAATTTTAATTTGCAGTAATGGAAATGGAAGTTGGGGATTAGGAACAACTTCATCACACTGCGGGTGGTTAAGTGTTGGAGCAGCTTGCCTGGAGGGGTTGTAGCCTCTCCATCCTTGGAAGGTGTTAAGAGCAGGTTAGAGAAACACTTGGTTTAGACAGGGATGATCATGTCTTGAGTCAGAGGACTTGGGGAAATGACATCCTGGGGGCCTCGTTAATATGTGCTTGTGCTCAGCATGGTCCTCTTAGTCCTTTCAGGTGCCTGGCTGGTGGGTCTTGCTCATACACTGTGGGTCAAACTGACTGTCAGGTCTGGGGTGAGGGAGGAACATTGCTCCCGTCAGGACTGTGGGTTTTTTTCTGTCCCTGGTAGTGAGGTAAGAGCCAGTTCCCTGGCTCACATGTGAGCAGTCTCAGTGACGGTGCATGCACATGGCCCAAACACTGCCTCTGGATGCTGTATAGGATACTGTTGTGGTTAGTGATCTGGATAATGTAGTTGCACTGTTTAACATTGTGCAGCTCCTCCCAAGCAAAGAAGGGGCCTGAAAAGCCTGAACTATTGAGTGTCCCATGTAATTAATGGCAAATTAAGTGACAATTTTTTTTTGCCCTGTGTGCTCAGACACAGCCTGAGCCAGTAGAGAAAAGGCTTGTATCTCCCGTTAGACTGAATGCAGCCCTTCCCAGTACCAATCTAAGGGAAGCAGATGTGCACAAATAGCTAAATATGAGTTAATAGTGGTCATTGGCATTGGCCCTGACAGTAATGATTTCCATCACCTCCAGTCTTAGCACCATTAATTCTGGGACAGACATCTCTGCATCCCCCACAGCTGACTGTCCCGGCTCAGGCTGGGGCTGCAGTGTAATAAATGGACTCTGCATGCCAGTTCAGGAGCTTCTCCTGGGATTTAGTTGTCTCTGCAGCACCCCAGCGACTCCTACCAAGGCATTTGGGACTACCTGCAGGAGCATACAGCCCATCTTGGTCTTGTGAGGAGTACAGGAGAAGGAGACAGGTGTCTCATAGGTACCATGGTTGTATCTAATGTACTTCTGGGGATTTGCCTGTATAGAGCTGCCCGTGCCTCAGACCATCTTGTAGGGTGCTAGCATTGCTTTTTTTATACCCAGCATTACATAGCAGGTTTGCTCACTTAGTTCAGGTAAAGGGTCAGTTCCTGCTCTCTGCTGCTCCAGAATTACAGCACAGTGGGTCCTCTCTGGAGTTAACAGTGGTGTCCCTGAAAGCAGACAAGTGTCAATTTCCCCCATGATTAGTCATCACCACCATTCATTGGGCAATTCTGGAAATGAGGGGAGAAGAGGTTTGTGGGCTGAGAAGTCTAAGGGATCCCCAACTCCTTTTGACCCTTTCTTTTCATTCTCATGTCCCTGTGACAAGGTATTTAGCAGAATTTGCAGATTTGTTGGAATCTGACATGCCCGCATCAGGAGTGCTTCTGCTATGGCCCTGACCTTTGTGACTTCTGGGCTGTCAACTGTGCACCTTAGTGCCCATGCCACCATACCCCACTCCTTTTGACCTGGAGATCTCTTCTGCCAGCACTCCTACTAGACAGAGGAAGCAGATGTTTCATTGAAGAAAAGGTCAGTGAGAAGAACAGAGAGGGTTTGGACCCATACATACCAGTGGAGGTGCCGTTAATCTGGCCAGTAGGGCTGTGCCAAACTTCAGTAGCTGATTCAATTCGGAGGAGACTTGGCCCAGTTTGGGGACTGACTCTCTGAATCTGAATCGAATTGGGAGACCAAGTAAAAGCTCTGAATTGATTCAAGCATCCAAATCAATTCGGAAAAGCTTTGGAAAAGACTTGGCCGATTCAGAGATTTGGCCACAGACTAAACAGGCAACTGACAGCTGCCTCCAGCTTTTGGGGTTAGGGGAGGGAAGGAGCATGGGGGAGGGAGGGATTGGGGCTGGGGCTGGGA